TTGCCGCTCTCCAGGCATGCGTATCCGGTAATCTTTTTTCAATTCATGCATGTGCTTGTATGCAGGAGATGTATTTTTTCCTTCCTGGGTACAAGTATATGAATGAACTGACAAAAGATTCCTGGATACGCATACCTGACGTGCGGCCAGAACCGCGAAACCGGTCGTGTGCTTCCAGGGAAATTATCTAGTCAATCATATGCTACTTATTATGGAATATACGAAATATATACAGAAAAGAGTTATGTGGTGACGTTGTTCTGAGCGATTCAGTAACCAGCACTGATACTTGGTTCGTGCGGTGACAAGCTTGGACTTTACCAAGAAGTCCCGGTGAAGGTTTACATAGTTTGCCACTATAGAAAACATAATTGATGCTACCGGTTGATGTAACGATGCAGAAAAACCATCCAGGCTACAGTTTCCATTCTTTGTATTGTGCGTAGAGCTTCAAAATTTTTAAAACGAACACACTCGACCATAGCACGCGGATATCAGTTGCCCAAAAGTATGTTTCGCATAACCCGAAACCGGTGAGAAGGTTTTCAGTGGGGTCAGTCGCTGCGAATAAACTGCTAGTTGATATTTTACGGTTCTTGCACTTTTCAAATACTCACTGGTGCTGAACTGCAGAAACGGTGAATTCCACAGACTGAACGTTGCGCGTAGAAAACAAGTTTATACCTTGCTTACTAATCCATTATTATTTCAGTAGTGTGCTCGTGTTCACAAAAAATCGCTTGTTCACCACCTGGGCTTCTAAAGGGGTGGTGACTTTTTAAGTCCACCATCAAAGTCAGAACATTTTTCAGTAATTCCTGATTGAAAATTCATTAGAACATTTGTTTTGTGATAGATGACAATTTAATTTGCTTTTATGAGCATCACTTGTTGGTTTTACAACAATCTGTAAACGCTTTAAGTTTGCTTGGAAACATTGCTTATACTTTGAAATTTATCACTTATAATAAATAAAGCATTGTATAACAGGTATCGTGAAAATTCAGTATGGACAGCACTACTTGTACCGGTCGGGAGGCGAAGTAAGTGAGAAAGTCAATTCAGTCTTAGCTAGGCATAATACAGATAACCAGACAAACATCCCGTAGTACGCGTCATTGGAAGCAGTGAACTAAGGAAAGATGAATATTGTCTACAGTGATGAAAACTTGCTGTTCAGTTATAGATTATGGAGCGATGAACCACATAAGGGATCAGTAAGACAGATGCGATTATGATTCTGGCGGTAGTGCATCATTCTACCACCGATCTAAGTGACTGGGATAGCGTTCAAACCTCGAATCTTAGAGCTTGGAGCAACGCCACTACAGGTAGAAAGGACGAAAAACATTCGATGAACCATACCTGAAGAAGCNCCAGTGGTGTGAACAGAGTTCTTTGATCGTATCGTGAGACTCGACACTCCATTTCATCAATGGAACAGGGATTCAAGGAAAGTAACTCGGATAATCTGTTGTGGAACGCCATCAGAGTGAAGCCCTGAAAACGTCGCAACTGAGTACACCGACGAAGCTTAGTTGAATCGAAGTACCTGACGAGTAACGCGAGTTCCTGAGAGAAAAATAAAACAAAGCATTTGAGGAGTGAAGCTGGCAGAAAAAAAGACTTAATATATTTACAATGTCCTAATCATTTTCAACCCTTCAGTTTATAATGCCCGGATACAGTTCGAGAGAAACTGTGAACCGTACAACTTTGATGATCAAGATCAAAGTAGGTTAGTGTGTAGACAAAGGTCACACAACATGGAAAGAATAAGTAGTTGTTCGGTGAACCGGGATGAAATTAGACGAACACTTATTTTAACGGTGAACACCGAGAATTTAGAAAACGGTTAAATGCAGTCGAAGAGATCGCTCTCAGGTCTCATACATAAGCGTGCGCTGTCAACAAGTGACAGAAAATCGAAGGGGTAATAGCCCAGCAAAGAAATCAGGGCATCACCTTGCCTAACTGACTTATCAGAATAGAAGCACTGTTGTGCAAAGGTCATGGTTGTTTGAAATGACTGCGACCTTGTTCTCAATTTACGCAGTGCATTCGGGAAACGCGGCTTGCAAAGAATCTGATGGGAAAGGTTCACATACCGTCAAAGAGAGAGGCACAAAGAATGTACATGTCCGAGACCCTGAGTCATTCTTCAGGTATAAAATTGCCATTAGAGAAGTGCAACAGTTCACAAAAGATAAACAATGATTCATCTAGTGCAATCTACCCATAAATGATAGCAAACACTACTGATCTCAGAGTGGGAAGTAAACGGTTATAATTACTTGAGTAAGCTGTGCACGCTGACATGAGCATACAATCTCCAGTTCATTTTGAAAAGGAGCTAAGTATGCGTCCAGTTGCTCGTGAAATGCCTCTGGAATCAGTCCGTCCGAGAGGCAACCGGAACGAGGGAAACTGGGAAGTTCACAGATGGCCTGTTGAAACCGCGTTTGAGCATCCAAACCGACGAGCAACATCAAACCCTCAGATATCTAAAAAGCAGAGGTAAGAAATGGGTATAACAAATCAAGGTGTCTAAAGTTATTTTAGAGTGTACGGGCTTAGGACATGGTAAACTATTCAAGGGGACCTAGTGGCCAATTAAAGTGCTCACTCCGGTATATTGGGGGAGGGGGTTCCGTCCAGGAATTAATAACCAGTTTTAATTTTTTTTAATTATACATAATGGTGCGATGGAAAGGGATAAATTCCATAGCCACTAGAACACGCGGTTCGATTGCGAGATCCGGAAACCTAACACGGATTAAATCGCAATAGTGATAATAAGCCGGGTGATAGAAAAATTCTGGAACACCACCGTTACCAATGACAATAATGCTTATGGTGGTACATTACTTGAAGGAGCCTGTGGATGGTGACGGAGTCAGGTTTAACTCTTTTGGTTAATCAAATTGAAATCTCTGTTTTGGTTACATTCGGCATCAAATAGTCTTTCATGAAAAGTAAGAGTTAGATTTAGAACAAATAAACGAGTGGGAACTCTGCACAGAGGACTCCCAAAGGGTGAATACAGTCAAAGCGGTATCACACATCCATGTGATGGATCCAGACTGCGAAGTATGAATAGGATATTGAATGTGATCCTAACGAGCTTTAGCAGGAACAAAATTTGATTTTGGCCTGATCAGAATGTGAGGTTGATTGGATGAACTACGCACTCAAATGAAGTCTGAAAGATGATTAGTTTCAAGCGAAATGGACGACAGAATTTGAAGATAGAAAAAACAAGAATCAAGAGGAACAGAGTGACGAACAAGCTCGTTTCCAGTGATTCGAGATTATTAATATTACTGTTGTTTGAAACGTGCTCCGTGGGACTATTCAGGCGGTCAAGAATACTTAACTAAAACGAGAAGCAATACGTACCTGTTGGCGAATAGTGATGCACTGAGGTGACATTGGATCGGAGTGCTGGAAAGTATCGACAGCGGAGGCGACGAGGTGGGCAACCATTGTGTGATGTAACGCTGTCTCCATCTGGGCGAGAAGAAAATAGCAAGGAATAGCTACAGTTGATTTTGTTCTCAAAGGTATGATTTCATATTGTCACTTGAATTACTTAATGTCTAACTCCGTAGCTTGATAGTAGAAGTACAAACGTGTTCCCGAAGGATTTAGCTTAGCAAAAGATAAATGCATCTTATTTGCGGATTAAAAAGCATCTCCAACGGACTTCATCATCATCAAACAGCGAAACACAGTAAACCGAACTTCGGTGATCACTGCCAACCTCGCACTATACGTGAGTTATTTTTTAATTTTTATTACACACCTAAGTGTGATGAACAGTAGACGGGGTGGAATCACATAGTCGCGAGGACCTGCTGTTCAGTGGTGGAAACCGGCAACGTAAGCCACAGGACTTGCAGTGGCGAACCACATAAGACCTTGATAGGTAGGAATGTGTAAGGTGGATCTATTTTGACGGCAAGGAAAAGAAGGTGAACAGCAATGGGCAACGCAGTCTAAATGCGCATAAACACTTCTTAAAACATTCTGGTCTGGTAAAAAAATGATCAGAAGAACACCACCGATGTCGTTTGCTGTCATGCCCCTCAGTGACTTCAATCAACTCGATACGAAGTATTTTAGACCCCAGCCCCTGAAAGACGAGAGATACCTACATTGCCGAATCGCTCTATGCAGTTTTTCATCGTTTATCTCCACGTGATCTTCTCTAATCGGGAGCAGCAAGTGCAAATAAGGCGCGGTGAGGTAGACGACCGTCAGGCGTGCGCAATGCGTGCCCTAACCAGCGAACAATACACCTTCGAATTCGATGTGATGATGCTTTTTTCACGAATATGTTCCCAAACGTACCACAACTTACATCGAGATTCATAACCCACTCACTCCAGCCCATCTGCATCAAACTACGTAAACACCGATTGCCAAAAACCGCTTTATTCCATGGATCGCTTCTACTTAAATTCAGGGGCCCACAACCGTAAGACTGAAGTGATTGCACTATGGTACACTATATGCGCCATTTCAATTAAGGTTAAACATCACACTGACACCAAAAATATTTCCGTCCCGCGCACTCCCCTGGAGCACACGCTTACTGCTTTTACTTCACTATCGTCATGGCTCACTCAACTTCACCCAATTTCTGACCATTATGTATTAGGCCCGGGGTAGACGACACAGTGTTGTAGCATCACTTTGCAGTTTGAAGCAACAGGACTTGGTAGTCTATCAAGCATACTTTGCGCATCCTCCATACATTCGAACAGAAACAAATCACATAGGTTCTTTACAACTACCCACTGAATGCCAACATTTGGATACCAACTCTGAGTGTTCTCCAATAATTCGTCTACAAAAAAATTAAACAGGAATGCTGAAATGGGATATCCTTGGTGAACACATTGCAAACGGCTTGAAGATAGATAACTGAAAAACAATTGTTTCGCCTAACTGTGGTTTTTCTAAAGGGTGTGATGGGCATCTTCCGGACAATTAAACTGTTATCGTTGATTGATTGCGTGATACAAATAGAGCGTGGGGTGGAGATTCCGTCCCTGTAGTCAGTAGCAGTTCGTTTGGGATCCAGCTTTCCTATGGCCTCGGATGAAGTCGACTAGGAACGCACCCCTGGGGATGCATCAACGACCTAGTCGAGAGAGGGAGTTCATGTAAACACAGAGCATATTGTTTGTACATAGTTTGATGTGATCAAAACCAGATTGAACACTGCAACTAACCCCCGTATAAATGTAATGTCTAGTTGATGAGTTACTGAAAAGCAGCTTGTCTCACCTACTGAACTTATTGTGAATAGCTTGTCCAGCTTTGTAGATCGTTTCAATAATCTGGACCCGCGGACCTCATATGTTGAGTAGCAGTTGGAATAGTTTATGACTAAGTCCCGATGCAGCGGCTAATTCCGAATCACTAGATATTTAGACCCACCAGTTTTTACGGTCAATTTTGAGACTTAAAGTGAACTGACGTTGCGGATGTTATCTATTGCTGTTTTGATCTTTTGTGGTTTTTTCTCTATCAAGGCTTCTGGTTCTTGAGATGCAATGCCTCGGACAGGATTGAAGCTCCAGGAGAAATGTTCAGTGCAGTATATATTGAAAGTCTAATTGAATCCGGTGGTTCGTCAACCCCNCGTTGCAGAGCTCTTAGAATATGTCAGAGTTTCATCTCATAACGGGCAAGAACTACTGGATCAAGCAACCAAGGACGGGCTAACCAAACTTACGGCTTTCATCGTTGGACATAGTGCCGATTCCCAGCCTTCGGGGTGGAGGAATTTTTTTAGTCTATATGTGCAGTCGAATGGAGGAGTAGACAAGCACAGAATGAAGGTGCATTCACTTGGACAATCAATCTACTTTGGTTTGGAATAAATCATATTCTTTCACAGCGAAAATCCATATGCCTGGTTTTTTTTTGAGCCTTATATTCCCGAAACAAGAGCAGTCCAAATTATTGAAACAAGCCTTTAATGCTACATTTTTTTACAGCGAGATCACTTACCAGAGTATCACGATCCGGGTCAGTATGTGATTGGCTAAGCGTGAGAATCTGCTTCAAAGAGGATATGATTTCTGCGATGTGAACTGAGCGGAGCGGTGAAGAACTGTTGGAGGAAAGGTAGAGGAGGCGAAGGGGGACACATCCACTAATGTTTTATGGTATAACCTAGTGCGAATGAATAAAAAGAAATGAACCTATCACATTCCAGTTTGGTTATGGAAACACTACAGTGTTACTCAGACCGTGTCGAAATTGTCTGTGTACACAAGAGTGCACTATGTTAGCGTTTTGATACCAAAAGTGGACAGAGTTGAATAGTTTTGATAGATGAATTTCAAATGCAGAGGCCTCCACGACCACTGGAAGCAGTTGAGCAAAAATGCGTAGACCTTTTTGCAAAGTTTGGGGGGAATAATGAAAATATAATGGCAAGGAAGGAGTAGGCGATTTCAATAGAAGTCGTTTAGAAAATCTATTCTACTCAAGACATAATAGTTCGTCAAGACGGGCCCATGTCAGAATGTGATTACTGTCTGATGATTTCTGATACGTACGAGAGTGTGATGAATAACAGCACTAGATTGTGTAGGCAGTATTGACCGGATTAGGGAGTGAGCCGCTGAGGACCGGACCGGATAATCTGGGATCGGTGTGCCCCAATGGTGATGTGGGGTACAAAGGAATTTGGCAGATATGCACTGATAAGGATTCCCACGAATAGTTAACCAGCTGCTACACAATGCTGTGAAGACTTTTGAGCAGACAGCTTGATTAATATTCAGTTGATAGAGCCAGATCAAATTGGGAACAAAAAGGTAAAAAGCTATGTTTGTAAAAGTAGCATCCCAATCCCGAATTCATTCAACCGAGAAGTTATTGGGCAAATCAACGAAACAGATGGACAACAACAACAGGCCAACTGGAAAGCTGAAGTGTTAGACAGAATGTGCTGTTGGTTGGAAAAGTAACACTGATAAGAGAACCAGAAGACTCACTCTCCTACACAGTCTAAAGCGAACCAACATACCCGGCCAAACTTACTGTGTTTTCAGTTCTGAAGCAAGTAAATCCGAATGCCCGACAACAAGGCGCCAGAATGTGAAGTCTTTAAGCTGTGTGGGGATGGGTCGCGCAGACGTCCCATCGAAGACACAATGAGCAATCAGGTTGCTAAGGGCAATCCACGAAGCCAAACGCATGCAGTTTGGCATGATCAATAATGGCGATAGCATATTCGTTGCATCCGATTTGGGAGCCAGGGAGACAGCTAGTGTAAACAACTGTGCCACCAACAGCTATTCGCAGGGTCCGAGGAGCGTGGAAAAAAGAAAGATAATGACAGAAATATTCCCCTACAGTGAAAAAAGTGGTGCAAAGAGATAATAAGTTGAAAATGTCCGGATGGGAAAGACGCGTTAAATTCCCACGAAGGAAGCCATACCGTTCACAATGGGAATAACAAGAATGTGATAGGCTAATAAACCTCCTCCAACCGATAGAAAAATGAACGTGTGCAGTGAACTCCGTGATTGGTAGTTGAAACAATCAAAATTGATCAACTGCCACATCCACAGGACAATAAACATGAGAGACAGTCTCTACAACGTGCTGCGCATATGCATATGCGAAACTACACCTTTTCCCACCAACCGTTAGCCAAAACCCGAAATACTTTAGCCAAAACCCACAATCCTTTAGCCTTGACCTACATTCCTTTAACCAAAATCCGTAGTCCTTTAGCCTCAACGCAAAAAATTTAGCCACGCCGCAGTAGACGAGTCAGATCAAAGGTATCGGAATATTCCGAAGTCAACAAAAGTTGAAAAAAATTATTTTCTATAAATTTTGATGCTACAAAACTTGGTTAAGAAATAAGGTGTGGGGGTTGCATGCTGCAACGCATGTGGATTGGAGAAAGTTTAAACGATATGCCCGTATCGTCAAATCATTTGACACATCTCGTACAGCTTCAGTGTTTCTGTATAACATGCGATACTCCTAGGAGTAAAAATCCCAAGTGAAACTCAAACGATACATGTTGAGGATAATAAAGCGTTCGTAAAAGTACACCCTCATATCATCAGTTTATTAAGGGTGCAACGTATGTCATAATTACCACGGTCGAGACTTAATTATTACGGGCTTTTGTCTATAGCTTCTTGGGAAACGGTGTTCTAAAGGGGTATGTGTGAGCAGTGTTTATTATCTTCGACCTTTTATTGTACCCATATGTCAAAAAAGGAGCTCACTTTAAGTGGATATACCAAACGGTAAGCTTATGGCTTTTGATTTATTTCAGAGCCTCTAAATGCAAAACAATTTATTGTTTGAGTTACACTTGGGATTTTTACTCCTAGGAGTATCGCATGTTATACAGAAACACTGAAGCTGTACGAGAT